CTGCTGGCACAGAAGCAAAGGCTAAACGATGATCTTTTCTTTGGCAGTTTTGATTTGGGGACATTCGCCCAAGGTGACAGACACACTGGTAAGTGGTGCAGTTTGAGGTCTCCTGGGAAAGGGGCGCCCTTTTTTCGTTTGGACCCTTGAGGAAAGAGTTGAGAAGCGCCCACTTGCTGAGACCAGGAGCTCCTCCTAGGAGGCTGACCTCCCTTCCTCCACCTGCGCTGCCCACAGCGGAGCCTCGCAGTGGCCCAGCGATGTGACCCGGTCCCCAAACAAGCCCGGTCCCTCAAGGCTAAAACGCAGAGTGGGCATTAGATGCGACTAGGCCCCTCTGACAGGTCCGCTTCCCACCTGCGATGGCTGAGACCCCCGCCAGGGAGACCCCGCCGGGGGTGGCCGGAAGTGCGCCCACGTGCTCGGTGACACCGACACCCACCGTGTTACGCGCAGGGAGTGGGCACCAATGACAGGATGCCTGCCCGCGTCGCTTAGCTTGGGGACAGGGGTCAGCGGGGGCGCCCGCGTGCAGCGGAGGTCGCAGGACGGGGACAGGGCTCCTGCTCGGTGGTCTGTGGCACCCAGGCGGGGTCTTCGGGGCTGACCTCCCCGGTCACAACGGACCACTACTGCACGGCCCCAGGAACCGGCACCTCCCGGCGGGGAAGTCTGGGGGGAGCAAAGACGTGGCCTTTACAAGGAAAACTCGGAATTACCACGGGAAGAATTCAAAGTCGGCCCAAACTACTGGACGATGAAGACAGTCCACATGTGTTGGCGTGTGTGCCTCGGCTCTGTCCAGGTGTCCCTTTTCTTCCTGCCCGCGGGGAGGAGCTGCCCGCGACGGGCGCTGGGTCCAGCTGCAGCGCTGGCCTGGGGTGCGGCCGGGCTCTCTGCGAGAGCTGCTCCCCAAGTTCCCCAGCCGTTGGGACAGGTTGCGGCAGAGCCAGGCCCGAGCCCGGGGCTCCCTGCACTTCTGCGATGGCGGGATGGCACGATGGCACGATGGTGGGATGGCAGGAAGCCCCGGGCCTGCTCTTCCCTGCAGGCACCTTTCTGACAGAGGGGAATCTGAGTCACACAAACCTGAGGGCAAATGACAACCCGACCACTCCTATCCCAGCTCTGCATTGTCTGACAACACACTTTTTTCTACATCTTCATTTAAATTTTTCTTCTATACAGAAAATAAAACCTGACTGAGGCTATTTTGAGGAATTATGATTAGATATAAGAAGAGAGGAGATAGGCAGAGAGTCTCTCTCACACCCCAAGGCCCAGGCCCAGGGAGACAGCGATCTGTGGGTAAAACCAGAAGGGGCAAGGCATAGGAAGGACTTCCAGTGCGCATCTTTCTTACAACTTCAAGTTTCTAAGTCACAAATGTGTGTATATACATATACACATATATTCAAATGTTAAATTTTTAAAATAGAAGTAAAACACAACAGTTCAGTACTGATTAAACATTTAGGAAAAAATTTTTCCTCAGGCTGAAAGACGGCATGAAGCTAAATGCTTAATATTCTGAATTCCAAGGGCAGACATTCTTGCCAAGTTCCCAGTTTCTTACCAGGATTGTGGTTCTCCAAAGTTCACATCTTGATTAGCCCAGGGATTTGTAAATATGTTACAGATCAAGGGGGATCAAATTGCACACAGAATTACGATTTTTAATCTGTTGAGGTTAGATTATTCTGGATTATGCAGATGCACCCAATGTGATTAAGAGCTCCTCCGAGGTGGAAGAGGGAGGCAGAGGGTGCCATGGCAGAGTCAGTGACACAGCATGAGGACTGGTCTGGCTATTGCTTACTCTGAGGGCGGAAGAAAGCCTCCAGCTAAGGAGCCTGGAAGCTCTGGAAGCTGGGAAGAGCAAGGAAGTGATTCCCTTACTAGTGTCCAGAAGAGAACATGGGTCCCCCAGCAACTTGGTTCCAGTCCAGGGAGACCTATTTGAGATTCTGACCTCCAGATGATAAGTGTGACAACTTATTACAGCAGCAACAGGAAATGAACACATCCACACAAACCATGAGATTCAGTCTGATGCCCGGTCCCTCTTCTGAAAGACAAGAAGCCATCACTCATTGAAATGAGGGCCACAGATCATTAAAGCCCTAAAAATGTTCAGCCAACCTAAAAAACAACTTATGAAGGTGTAAGAAACTCTTGAACATGCGAGAATTCAGAATATGCCATCATTCATTGAGATAATATAAACACCCAAGAGAAGTCTCAATGGCAATGGAAATAAAACTGTCAATTCTGGACAGGAGAAAACCGTGCAAAGCAGTGGCCAGCAGTGACTGGCACTCTTGAGCATACTTGAGGGCAAGTCCAGGTGACGCTTGTATTTGGTTATTAGAAAGAAAGGATAAAGAATGGGCTTCGAAGGGAGGAAAGAACAATCAGGAGTGGCCTCTTCATGGGAGAGGCAAACTTCATAGTGGTCAGGAAGTATAGTGATCTCCTTCTGCCCAAATAATGACCAAGAATGGGGAGATGGCCTCCATCCTAAGCATGCTGAGAGCTCTAATTTAGCAAGAGAAAGGGAACCACCAGCCAGCGTAAGACCCAGGTAGCATATTAGCACATACCAGGTGAAGCAAAGGAATGGAGCTGAACTGTTCCATTAAACCTAAGATTCACTTTTCATTTTGAAAAATCAGGGTGTAGGTTTTCCCTGGGATCGGCCACTGAGCTACACCCCCTTTTCAAGTTTTTTGCTGAGGTTGGCCTTGAACTTGGGGGTCCTCCTGCTCAGGCTTTGGAGTTGCTGGGTTACAGGTGTGGCCACCATGCCCCACTGGTAAGGTCATTTTTTTTGTCCTGGGAATTAATACAAGGGCCATGTGCATGTGAGGCAATTCTCTACCACTGAGCTACATTCCTGCCTCATGTATGTTTTCTAATAAGTTAAGGGACAGGGGCTGACAACAAGTGTATGGCATGATAGGGGACAGACAAGCTGGAGTGGCAGGAACACAGGTTAAGGAATAATCCTATACAACGGGCGCACTGTGCTGACCCCCATGCTTTCTTTTCTAAGAAGCAATTTGCCTGCAGCCCTGATGGTCTTGAGTGGACAGGATATGTCACATCCCTCAACAAACTGTTAACTGTAGGAAAAATACAGGCCTGAAATAATGTCCGTAAGAGGAACCCAAGCCACCCTGAAGGGGGAACCTTTTATGTCCCTTTCACAGGCCAGATTTAAAATTCAGTGAAATGAGTCTAATTTCTCCCAACTGTGAGATCTGTAAGAATGTGTGGTTAAGAACCAATTAGGGGGCTGGGGATGTGGCTCAAGCGGTAGCGCGCTCGCCTAGCGTGCGTGCGGCCCGGGTTCGATCCTCAGCACCACATACCCACAAAGATGTTGTGTCCGCCGAGAACTAAGAAAAAAATAAATAAATATTAAAATTCTCTCTCTCTCTGTCCCCCTCTCTCACTCTCTCTTTAAAAAAAAAAAAAGAACCAATTAGGGCTGGGTATGATGACAACAGAGGCTCAGGAGGCTGGGGCAGGAGGACCCCAAGTTCAAAGCCAGCCTCAGCAAAAGTGAGGCACTAAGCAACTCACTAAGACTGTCTCTAAATAAAATGCAAAATAGGGGGATGTGGCTCAGTGCCCCTGAGAATTCAATCCCCAGTACCCTCCACCCCCCACAAAAAAAGGGGGCTGTGGATGTGGCTTGATGGTTAAGCTCCCCTGGTTTCAATCCCTGGTAACAAAAACAAAAAAAGAATCCAATTAGAACTGGTCAGCACAGGCCAAAGTGACCAAGAGTTGTCATGGCAGTGAGGTCTCAAAGTCTGATGTCATGCTGTCTAGTCAAAAGTCAAGAGGTGGACCTGGGCAGGACTCTCTGGAAACTTCTCTGGGATCCCCAATAAAACTGGAGCACAGGAGGGGCACATTGTCCCTCTCCTCTCTGAGGACCTACTTTCTCCCTTGAGAGTGTCCCCTTCCCCTTTTCCTATCCCTTCTATAAACTCATGCCTGTTACTCTGAGCCACACGTCTGAAATCTGACTGGATCGCAAGAATCTGGGTCTGAAGGGGGCCTCTGCCCTACCTCAGCCTCCAGAAGGCCCAGCCTGTAACAGGGAGAAGCACACCACACAGAGATAAGGCATTACAATTAGTATACAAAACCTGAAAATAAATAGCCAAAGAATTACTCGGCCACGTAGGAGCAAACTTTCTATCTAAAAAGCCCGAGAGTAAACAGAGTCTTGTGGCCAGTCTGTTGCAACATTCCAGTGGCGCAAAGGCGTCAAACAACAAATGAACGAGCAGGGCTGTCCAGTGAGACCTGACAGAACAGGCAGCAGCTGTACTTGGCAGAGGTGGGCACCACATAAAGATGAAAGGTGTGGCATTCAGGCTGGGGCTGGGGCTCAGTGGCAGAGCGCCTGCCTCGCATGTGGAAGGCACTGGGCTCGATCCTCAGCACCACGTAAAAATTAAAATAAAGGTATTGTGTCCACCTACAATGAAAAAAATATTTAAAAAAAAGAAAGGTGTAACACGCACGTAGAGGATTAGTAACGTCCTTACAGCCCAAACAACAAAAAGCAAAAGTCTCGGGAATCTTGTTTAAAAAAAAAAAAAAAGTCAATTTTAGGAAATTCTGATCCAATCGATCAAGTTATATAAGAATATAGAGAATTTTATCATTAAAACCCACTGGCTTTAACAGATTTATCTCAAAAACTATATCCAAAAATGTAGAATACATACATTTTTTGAAGTTCATGGAACATATTTAAAAACCAGCCCTATATTTAGCCATGAAAAAAGACAGTCAAAGCTGACATTTTCAGGCCACACTTATCAATCGTAAAAAAAATTAAATATTTTTGAAGTTATATCATTTGGAATGCTTTTGAATGCAAATTTACAAAAGACCCAACTAAAACATGGGCAGTGAAGGTTTATTTCTCGCACAGAGGCATCAGGCCACCCCAGCCTGGGGTCTCTGGGCTCTGAGTCAGCTTCTCCAGGTCCTTTTTCCTCCTCTTGGCTCCATGACAGCTGCAGTCTCACCTTCCCACGTGAAGATGTCCAACAACGGGAAGTGCACAGGGAAGGAGTGAACTGCTCCCCAAAAGCCCCACTCACAGTACACTGGTCACTCTGAGTGGCACAGGAGGTTGGAAAATGAGAATTTGACATTTTCACATCCTAAGCAAGAGACGATGCTGCCAATAAGGTGAGCTGCCACACCTTCTGGGCAGGCAAATGACACCTGCCCGTGACAGAAGTCAACAAAATACGACCCAAAACAAGCTGCCCATGGGGAAATTAAGAGACTCTCCCAAACAAACTCTTCCTGAAATAGGGACACAGAGAAATGGTGATGACCAGGAGATGAACACCTGCCCTGGCACCACTCTGTCCACCTGCTCGTCACCCTTTATGGTACCTGCATGATGTACTTCCCGGGGAGTCAACCAGGAGTAATTCAGTCAGTTCTTCACCCACCCCCAAGAAAACTAAAACTTGACTCTTACTGAAATTAGTAAGCTGAGGTTAGAAAATATGATTCTGAATGTGTCAGAGATAAATATTCCCCAACCTTCCCCGCCTGATAAATAGTGGTCTAAGCACGTTCCTTTATATCCACAAATGTTTCTGCAGAGCTTACAACTTCAGATGAAAGACAAGCTCTGAGCGAAGGCCTTCCCACCCCCTTCCCCCTCAGGCCTTTCTGTAAGGTGCGGGAGCTGGCCGCTGTGGCTGGCCTGAGCTGCTGGGCTTTCCCCTGACTTCCATTCACATGGCTGCTGGCCAACACAAACTCCCTGATGATCAACAATGGGCATGTGCCGACGGCGGGCTCTTCTGCACTCAATAAATTCGTGCGTGTTTCTCCACTCCGCAGCCTGGAGTGTTGAAGCGCAGTGGCACTTCGAGCAAGGGTCGTCCCCCATCCCTCAGCATGAGAGGCCTGGTGCTGAACCAGCTGGGAGCAGTGACTGAAGGCCTTCCCACACTGCGTACAGTCATACGGCTTCTCGCCCCTGTGAGTCCTGTGATGGACGGTGAGGTGTGACACCCGTTTGAAGGCCCTACCACACACCTTGCACTGGTAGGGCTTCTCTCCAGTGTGGATTCTCTGATGTTGCCTAAGCTGGGAGCTCACTCTAAAGGCCTTCCCACACACCTTACATTCATAAGGCTTCTCCCCCGTATGAATCCTCTGATGGCGAATGAGAGTTGACCCCTGATTAAAGGCTTTCCCACATTCCTTACATTCGTGGAGTTTCTTGCCAGTATGAACAGTCTGGTGCTGAATCAACTGAGACCGATGGCTGAAAGTCTTCCCACACTCCTTACATGCATAGGGTTTTTCCCCAGTATGAGTCCTGCAATGCACTTTGAGATGTGAGATCCGATTGAAGGCCTTGCCACACTCCTTACACTGGTAGGGTTTCTCACCAGTGTGAATCCGTTGGTGTTCAATCAACTGCGAGCTCCGACTGAAGGCCTTCGCACAGTCCCTACATTCATAGGGCTTCTCCCCAGTATGAACTCTCTGGTGCTGTATGAAATTGGACCCAGAATTGAAGGCTTTTCCACATTGCTTACATTCATAGGGTTTTTTGCCAGAATGAATATTCTCATGCTGAATGAGTCGTGAGCCATATTTAAAGGCCTTCCCACATTCCTTACATTTATAGGGTTTCTCGTTAGAATGAATTCCTGGATGATTAATAAGGAATTCCTCCTGCCAGAAGTCATTTCTACACTTATTATATCCATGTGGCTTTCCTCCAGTGTGAATGTTCTGGTAAAAAATGAGGGATGTCTGCGGGTTCAAAGTAGGTATTTTTTCATGACTGATTAACATTCGACTGAAGTGCCTGTCTGGACCTCCTGGTTGTCTGTCAAACTGAGTTTTGCAATCCCAGTCGCCAGGCAAACCTGAGCACCTGAGACCATAACTTGCAAGTCTTTCCATTATCTCCCACCGGGGCGACTTGACTTCATGAACATGCTGCTCTGGAGGTGACACTTTGGTATCATATCTGGATTTCAAGACTAAAAAAGAAAAAAAACAGTTATGTTTTATTTTTCTTTTCTAGAAGGAAATTTAGTAAACACTGGAAAGGTTAGGTGGCTAAGCAATTAAAAGGTAGCCAAGTAGAACACGGAAAGAAAAACAAATACCATAAATGAAATGAGGGTGGTAATCAGAGAGATGATAAGAGTAGTTCTAAACATGTTAGTGTATATCTCAACCACCTCTGAATCACTTTTTTTTAAAAAATAGTCTTTATGGCTGGGTGTGGTGGCCTGCACCTATAATTCCACAGGCTTGGGAGGCTGAGGTAGGAGGATTGTAAGCTCGATGCCAGCCTCAGCAACTTACCAAGACACCCTCTAAATATAAAAAATATATAAAAAGGACTGGGGATGCAGCTCAAAGGAGCATCCTGGATTCAAGGTTCAAGCCCCAGTACCAGCAAAGAAAAAGAAGCTTCCATGAGACACTAGAAGAGACAGATATGATGTGACATGACCCAGAGTGAGCCAGAAGTGGCTGTTGCCTGGAGCATGAAGGAGCATGTGGGAGGAGCATGAGAGCTCCCAGGGAGCCTTCAGGTCATGCCAATGTCCTGCCTTGACTGTGTGATGGTCACACTCATTAATATCACACTTAAAACGGGTACATTTGTTGAATATAGATCATCCTCAGTATTTTTCAAAATCATGGAGATTTCACAAGATATAAAAAGTTCAAAGTGGCGACAGCTGCACAGTAGTGGATATGATCACTACTGAATTGTGTACTTAATGGTTGTCATGGTAATTTTTGTTATGTGTATTTTATCACAATTTCAAAAAGTAAGACTAAGTGGGGCTCGCCCTGTCCTGCCTCGGCACCCAGAGGCTGTGCTGACGGGCTGCTGCGGCTTCCGTGGCGTTTTCTGTCACTGAAGTTTAGCTGACCACCACGGCAAAGCCACCAACAACTGAGCAGCCTCTCCTGGACCTTTCCACTGCCTACGGTGACTTAGGAACAAGAAGCGCCCTGTTTTAAGATGATCAGGCACAACTGATGAAGGGTGGGTCCCTTCCAGAACTACATATTTTGCTGCTTATTCAAATTACAAGCAAAAAGTGAATGGTGTATTAGATCCAGAGTTCACAGGCCCGAGATTTCAGTTTGGTGGTTACTATTACAGCTACCAACCCCATTTGGCTAAAAAAGACTCACTGTCAGCTTGATGTCAAGGAACCACAGGGGAAAGCAGATGGGTGCTTTTGTACAGGYCACGAAGCGTTCTCAGCATATGGCCTGGGAGGACTTCACGGGTACGTGTTTGCCTCTTATGGTGGCATATCGGTTTTGCTCATTTTGTTGTTAAAGTATTAAGCAAAAACTATTGGAATATAAAGGTTGCTTCTACAGCAGAAGGTGAGGAAGACTGTGAAAGATCATGAGGTTTTGTGAAAATGATGTGGCTGCGGTCACTTCGAGACCTTGTGCTACAACCACAGTACATCCACACAACTCCATGAAGAGACAGTGCAACGAGGCAGGGTAAAGACACACTTCCAGGCTCCAGCTGTGCAGGAGGAAGGTCGAGTCTCTACTGCGGCCAGGAATGCATCTGGCGAGACAGATTCCAAATAGTCACTCACGATGTCCCCCTGTACGGCCCTATTCAGTGGTGAGGACATTCCACCAAAGAAAGGAAGAAAGGAAAGGGCACCAAAGGATGGCAGCAGACCACGGAAGTAAAGCTGGCCAGTGGACAGAGGAAAACGGTGTGGGACAGCCAGCTATGCCCCGTGGCCACTGTTGGAGGAGCAAAGTCACAGTACCTTACTGCTCTTTTTTAACTATGTGGGAAAAAACCTTGGCTACTTCCAAGGAAAAGCCTTTAAAAACACGCCTTTCTCTGTGTGCCGATCTATCACATCTGCCTTAAATGGTCAGATTTTATCGATCAATGGCAGAGCGTAGTGTTGACTCCATGAGCATTTTCCCAGTCTTCTAAATATAAACATCTCTGATTATATTACTATCCAAAGAAAGTACTATCATCCTGATTTCTAACCTCTGGGTCTACTTAACTCCTTGTGAATGTGAAACAGCAACAATATAGTGAGGTCTTATCCCGGGGCTCAGAAGGCTGAGGCAGGAAGCTCTGAGCTCAGAACCAGCCTCAGCAACTCAGCGAGATCCTGTATCTAAATAAAATACAAATACAAAAAAGCGGGGGGGGGGGCTGTGGCTCAGTGGTTAAGCACCCCTGTGTTCAATCCTCAGTACCCCACCCTCCAAAAAAGTGAGTTCTTCTGTGTTTTCATCTTTCCTGATGAGATATGGAACAGCACAGGGAGCTATTTGGGCATTAGTACTCACTATTTTGAACAACCAATGAAAAAATATCTAAAAATCTTATGAACAGTCAGCAATACAATATTTTGGTTTTCACTTCTAACAAGTACTTGAGTTTTGCATAATTAAACATTTCAATTTTGAGTACATCAAATTCAAATGGTGATAAGTAAAGACAAACTATTAATTGTTGGGGATAACAGTGAAGTGATGACTCTTAGTTATATTAGTACACACTGTGCTGGCACCTTCTCCAGACTTGTGACAAGTGAAGACAGCTAGAAGGCAACTGTCTTTGGTGGTTTATTCATGACGAACCTGGACTGTCAACTATTTGTCACACCCAGCACCATGGTTTGGACATGGTCCCCATGAGATGGCACTGAGGTGGTGGGACCTCTAAGAGGAGGGCCCAACGGGAGGTGATTAGAACACAGAACACCACCCTCCGAAGGGGCTAACAGCTGACACCTGGCTCCCAGGAGTAGGGTAGGCCTCATGTCAATAGACCAGTTCTGAGAGGGAGCCGCTTTATGTGAACCATATATGCTCGGCCCTTCTTCATGTAGCCGTTTCACTTTTCTACCATGCTATGATCCAAAGCCAGGAGGACCTCACCAGACACCAGCACAATGATGCTGGGACCTTTTAGTCACCATGAGCCACATAAACCTATTTTATTTATAAGTGAGCCAGCTTCGTGTATTTTGTTATAACAAAACAAAATGGATCAAGACCTAAGCATCATGTAGTAGTAGCTGCTGAAAGACCTACTTAACATGAGTAGCAGATGGACTTGTGAGTCCCCTGGCTCACAGGAGACACTTCCCTCAATTTCAAAGTCCAAATCTGAGGACTACGGACACTTTGATTTCAGGCCCCTGAGCATGTGTGGCAAGTGGTCCACCACTGAGTCACATCCCCAGTCCACACCCAGTGCTTTTAAATGCATCTGAGCAAACTATGCCACCAAAGCTTTGCCTTACCAACATGTGTGAGCCATAGAACTGACTCTACTAGAGGAGGCACACCAACAGGAGATCTGGAACCTGAGACCAGGCCAGACTAAGGTTATTTACCTGCCTTTTGTCTTGTAAAAAATGCTAACGACTTTATGGAGCAACTTGATTACATCAGAAAGAGCAGTTTGGACTGTTAAAAAAATGAATGGCAGCCAGGTGCAGTGGCACACACCTATGATCCCAGCTGTTCTGGAGGCTGAGGCAGGAAGATCCCAAGTTTGAGGACAGCCATGACAGTGTATTGAGGCCCTGAGCAACCTACAGAGACCCTGTCTCAAAAAAAAAATACAAACAAAAAAAAACACTAGACAGCTATTTCGTTATTTTTAGATTTATTTTAAATTACAGATTGTTGCTATCACTAGATGAGCACTTCTTAGTTGAAAATATATTAGTTTAGCTTTTTCCTCCTCCATTATTGGCCCTGACTCTAACATTCCTAAAAATACACAAATTTCTGAATGATTTAAATAGGATACTTAATATAGCAAAATATTTAAAACAAGGTTCCAACATTCTGCCCACTCAAATCTCTTCTCCATCATGCCTTCGTATTTCTTGTTAATCTAAATGCTGTGTTTTTTGTGACTTTAGGAACCATGAGCTGGGTGCAGTAGAGCATGCCTGTAATCCCATCTGCTCAGGAGGCTAAGACAGGAGGGTCGGGAATTCAAAGCAAAAGCGAGGTGCTAAGCAACTGAGACCCTGTCTCTAAATAAAATATAAAATAGGGAGTTGGGGCTGTGGTTCAGCGGTAGCGCACTTGCCTGGCATACATGAGGCATTGGTTTGGTTCTCAGCACTGCATGTAAATAAATAAGATAAAGGTCTATCCACAACTAAAAAAATATATTAAAAAAAAATACAGGGCTGGGGTTGTGGCTCAGTGGTAGAGTGCTCGCCTAGCACATGCGAGGCCCTGGGTTCGATCCTCAGCACCACATAAAAATAAGTAAACAAAATAAAGGTATTGTGTACAACTAAAAAATAAATATTAAAAAAATACAAAATTGGGCTGTGGATGTGGCTGAGTGGCTGAGGGCCCCTGAGTTCAATTCCTGGTACCAGCAAAAAGAAACATGAGGGGCTGGGGTTATAGCTCAGTGGCAGAGTACTTACCAGGCACGTGTGAGGCACTGGGTTCAATCCTCAGCACCACATTAAAAATTAATAAAGGTATTATGTCCACCTACAAGTACAAATATTGAAAAGCTAAAGAAAAAAGAAACACAAGGTGAACACAGTGGTGCACACCTGTAATCCCAGAGACTTGGGAGGCTGAGGCAGAAGGACTGCAAGTTCAAGCCAGCCTCAGCAACTTAGTGGGGTCCTAAGCAACTGAGTAAGAGCCCATCTCAAAATAAAAAACAAAAAGGGTTGGGGATGTGTTTCAGTGCTAAAGTACCACACAAAAAAACAAACAAAAAACTTGTGAGGAACATGCTACCTACACATTCTCACGTGGGTCCCACACATCATGGCTTGGATCCTCCACATGGGCAAGACCCCTGGCAGTCCCTGGCTCACACCAAGATGCACCTTCCTCTCCCATGCTCCATGCCTTGCTCGACTCCAGCCACCCTGGCCATCTGTCTCAGAGGCACCAAGGGCTTCCCTGACTCAGCTTTCACACACATAGCTGATGTTTACCAAGGGCCATCAAAGGCCTGCGTCTCAGCTAAAATGCCTCCTCCTTGGACCAGCTGCCCTGCTGTGCGGCCCAGATGACCTTTTCTTTTTTCCGTGTTTGTGCATGTGCTTGCGTGCATGTGTTCATGTCTATTTCTTCTGGCAGTTAAGCTCCACGAAGGCAGGGACACGGTGTGGCCCCCTCACCAGTATACACTGTGGTGCACAACACAAGCTCAAAAATACTTGTTAATTATTCTCCAAAATTTAAATAAAGAGCTGACACAGATTCCTTTAGAAAAGTGGTTAAAGGACATACATCTCTTTCCAAAAAGAAAATACTTTCCTTAGGAAGTGTTAACACTTGTATTCACTCAATCGCTAAATACAAGACGATAAGTAAATGTTTCAGGAAAGAAAGATCAAGGACCTGTATGCAAGACCTGACCTCTGAATCTGGCAACTTGAAGGGAAGACTTTCTAATGCCAAGGGCCACCTCCTTGATGCAGGTCTGCCCTCTCTCCACTGATGCCTCACTCACCTGTACACAGGCTTCCTGACACCACCCTCTCCTCCATCCAGGGCTCTTTGCCTTGCTCCAGGAAGGAGATCACATCAGGTTTGGATATGGCAAGACCTGGCAAAGAGAAGAAAAAGACCACACAGTTATAGTGAAGATGGGACACCAGAACTCAGACTCAGGGCTGGGTCATTGCACAGGAGAGGCAGTGGCAAAAAGAAAGCTAGAAGATGACTTAATGATTACTTGAAATCGATTCAGCTAGTGGGATGCCCTTTAGTCACTCCCCAAATGACCAACACTCCCAGAACTGACTGACACCAGAAACCGACCAGGGGGGGACAGAAACGCCCTAGAGTAAGATCCAAGCTGACAGACCACGTCAGGAGCCACCCATGGGTTGCATGTGGGTCACCATGCGTGGAAGCCTAGTGGATAGAGACATCTGGTGCCTGGGAATGACCAATGGACATTTTCTCTGGTCAGCTGCTCAGGGTCAATGTGAATCTCTAGCCCACTCTGCTGTGGCCCACATAGTACCTGAGATGGGTGTGACCTGCCAGATGTCAATCAACCTCCTGACTACAAGGCATTAAGAAGCAAGACTCTGCCCCTGAGACCTTACCCCTGCCTTTGATGGACCCCCTTAAATAAACCACCAGATCCATCTTTTCTTTGTCTAGTTCCAGAACCCACGTGGACTAGATCAGGAGCTTCGCGTTTCGTGAATACATTTCTGAGTATCTATGTTTTATTATTCACTAATAATTTGAGATTTTAAGTTTTAGGGTGGCTTAGATTCTCCTGGGTAGGAAGAACCCTCCAATGAGACACTGGCCGTGGACCCCTGATAAGACCAGATCACCTTACCCAGTGAGACCAGGTTGCGGTAAGTCTCCAACATCACATCTCTGTACAAATCCCTCTGAGCAGGCTCCAGCCATTCCCATTCTTCTTGTGAGAAGACTATAGCCACATCCCTGAAAAATTCTGACCCCTGGAACAAGAGGAATAAATGATACATGTATATTTCAAGATGTTTTCACAGTGGGATGAGAAAAACTGGAAGTCTTTGCAGGAAGGGGTTGTTCTGGTGAATGAAAAAGCTGGGGCAGGGACAGAGGAAGTGGGCAAGACTAAAACAGCAAGCCAAAGCTCTTGTGCATGTCTGGGATGAAAATGAAAAAGCTAAATGGAGTTTTCTTTATTCTGTGCAATAGTGTGCTAAAATAGGCTGCCTGCTCTGCTCGATACCATTAAGGTAAGACCTATAGTTTTTACCTTGATGGGACAACAAAAAAAGATACCTGATGGGCTTTCACCTAATTATTGTTCAAAAATTTTTATAAAAATGTTTTTATCTAAAAACAGGATGTTCATCTACATCAAGAATTTCTCAGAAACCTAAATTCATCATATCAGAATATATCGTGAGCATTTTCTTCATGAGAAAAACAACGAACACAAAGATGACTGTTAATGACTATCCAATTTTCTTAAAGTGAAAAGAAGGGCACGCTCAGTTACTGTGGACCCAGAACTGATCACAAATCTCGAAGCTCTTACGGGATCTGACCACCCACCAGGCTGACAGTCTACACTTGCTATCAGCCACATCCTTAGTTCTGCGCTTCTCTCTCTCTTATTGAAGAACCACCCAGAATCAAATGCTCTGTGCAGCCTCAAATTAGATCTTAACTCTGGCATTCAATCTCAGATTCTCAGCTAAGCCTCAATTATTTCTTCCAAAGAAGGACACTACATACACACTCACATGGAGATCAACCTGCACTAGCTCCATGCTTTTCTACATCCCCAAATGTCATTTCCATTCTTTTCACCTCAGTTCTGACAAAGGGTGCTCTCATTTCATAAACCAAAGTGTATTTTTGCTCCATCTGTCCTCCTAGCCAAAGGCTGAAATGTCAGGACACATGTGATGCTATGTAGAATGGACCCATGGGCATTTGTGGGGGCAGGTAATAGGACAGGAATTAGCTGTCTGGGCCTTTCAGTCCCTAAAATGGAGACCTCTGAGAACTAAATTAACTAATGGAACCCAGATGGGCAGTTTCAGGATAAGGAAAACAAATATTTACATGATTTTAAAACTCACGAGGGACATGACTTTTAGAATTTCACAAGGTGGTAGGTCCTCCTCCAGGTTCCTCTCTTGAGGAAGTGCAGTCTCCTGAGATGGTGGAGCTGGGGGAAGGAAAGAACAGAGGGTAGGCTTGCCTCACATCTCCCAGAAGAGGAGGTTACAAGCCCTCCCCTGCTTGTCCCCAACCACCCTCAAAACAGAGTGAGGACAAACTGTGGCTGTCACTCAACCCAGCCAAGGAGGCAGGAATCAAGGGTCCTCTCTCTCTGATTTCCCTTAAATACCCAGAGGTTCTGCCTTGTTGCTGACACACATCTAACACAAGGATGCTCACACTTATTCCAGTGACTGAGACCCACACTGTACCTCAAGTACAAAGAAAATTCCTCTTTAGGTAGAGTAATATAGAGGATTTGTATAATAATATGCATAGCCCCAGCCCAAAATAAAGTTTCCCCAGGATTATGCCATTTCATTCTCTCATGCATCAAATTTAACATCTTCAAAAGTCTACCTATGGCTTGAGAGGCCGAGGCAGGAGGACTGGGAGTTCAAGGCCAGACTCAGTAACTTAGGGAGGCCCTAAGCAACTGAGTGAGACCCTATTTCAAAATAAAAACATAAGAAGGGTAAGGTGGCCCCTGTTCCATCCCCAGTACAAAAAAAGCCTACCTGGCTCTTTGCCCAACTTCCACAATCAAAAAGCCGGCAGTTCAATAGGCTTTGTGGACACCACTTTAGGGTCTACCTCGAGTCAAGAAATGGAGTGGAGAGGCAGATAAATTACATGGCGCAAGCCCAGGGCTCCGTATCAAGACATAAACGTGGCCCTCCATAGACACAAAGTAGTGTGCACATTTGCACACCAAGCTCTGCAGAAGAATACGCAGCACCTAAGGAGTCAGGGCTACAAGTAGGCCAGTGGCTGAATCATTTTTGGCACAACCAAAATAATGTTGGACATCACGAACAAGATATCCCACTCGGGATCCTCTGCACGATGTGGGAAATGCAGCAACAAGAAGTCAAGCCACGCAAACGCTCACGGGCTCAGCGCCCGCAGAACACCCTCGGCCTCTCTGACCCTCTCGAGGTCAGCACCGAGGTCAGCACCGAGCAGAGCTCCGCACAGGCGCGGCAGTGCCGCCGGAGGCGGGCGTCGTGCGGGCGCCCAGGCAGCAAGCGCCCTGCTGCCGACGCCCGCCCGGCCGCCTGCGCCTCGCCTCCCCACGAGGGAGCCACCGCGACCCCTGACGCGCGGCCCGTGCAGCCTCGGCTCCCACGGCGGGGCGCCCAGGGCTTCGGGGTCTTGAAACTCTCGGGAGGCCCCTACGAAGCAAGTCCTCGTCCGGGTTAAACACACGCTGCGCCAGACGCGCGCGCTCGCGGAAGAAGGGGCGCGTCACTCCCTCACCTGCCGCCTGGGGAGCAGGCGCCCCGCCTCTCACGGCGCGTCCCGCGGCGCCGACCGGAAGCTAAGCGATGCGCACGCGCGGGCGCCGCGGCCCCTTCCGGGGAACGCGATCTCGGCGTGGCGAGGCGGATCTCGCGGCGTTTCGAGAGGACCGACGTGCGGGGACGTGCGTGCGGGCGGACTCCTGCTCGGGTGGCGTTGTGCACTGCTCCCCGCGCGTGCAAAGTGGTGCGAGGGAACGGAGGGAGCGCCTGCGGACCTGCCTGCCCCAGACTTGATCTCAAAGGGTTACTGAGTTTCCCGTCCCCTGGGTACGGAAAAGCTCACCCTCCGATTTTATGGGAAACTATGGCCTGGAAGTGACCGGACCACCGCGACGCCCAAGCACAGCTGTGCCTCCTATGAGCAGGGGTGGCCTGCAGAGGCCCGCCTCTCCGTTCCTGCCCACACGTTGTCCTCGATTCTAGCCCTCGTGCTGGGCAGGAAGGTGCCACCGTGGTTTAGATGTGTCCTGCCCCACTGACCGAAGAGGGGACTTTCAAGCTCGAGTGGACCTGATATATATCTTCTTTGGGGAAAAGGCGGCTCACATCCCTTGTTCACTTTTTATTAGCAAGGTGTGTCTTTGCAAATTCTGGATTCAAATCCTTATCAGATACTTCAATAGATTTGACAGTACAAAAACGATGGGGCCCAGCGCAGTTGTGCGTGCCTGTAATTTCAGCAACTGAGGAGGCTCAGGCAGGAGGAACATTGAGGCTAGCCTCGGAAACCTGGCCAGGGGATGGGGGTATAGCTCAGGAGCAGAGCACTTGCCCAGCAAGTGAGGCCTCTGCTCAGCTCCCGGTGCGGGATGACAGGGCAGAGAACAGAACCCAGGAGTATTTCGTGTTTCATCGCCACTCTGTTTCTTCGTTTGTTTGTTTCTTGTCGTTTTAAAACAGAGGTCCTGGGCTGGGGCTGGGGCTCAGTGGTGGACGCTTGCCTAGCACGTGAGGCCCTGGGTTCAATTCTCAGCACCGCGTAAAAACAAATGAATAAAATAAAAAGGTACTGTGTCCACCTGCAACTAACGGCTACTGGTGCCTGGCTGTCTCCGACCTGCCCCAGATCCCACGTGCCCTTTCCTGAGCCTCAACTGATGCCTTTGGGACACATCGGACTTGTCCTTCCTCAACTTCTAAGTTGCTCCGCTCAGGTCGTGCGTCGTTGGTGACTCTGGCGTGAAGGACCGAGAAACGAGTTCGTTGGACATTTCCCAAAAGGTAGAAGACCAGAAAATGGGGACGACGTCAACACCTGGCTCGGTCCTCATAAGGCCATCCCTTTACCCTAGTGGATTCTCCAGGGCGCCACTCAGCGGCCACACGGGGCAGGCGCTCTGGGATGTAGTGACGGGACTACGGCTGCGCATGCGCACTCGTCCGACCGCGAGTCGCGCCTGCGCACTCTGCCTGCCCCCCAGTCCTGGCGTGGGCGGGCAGGGGACTGAGGCTCCGCCGCCGCCGGGGGCGGAGCCTACGGCTGGCGTCCCCGCAGCCTCCCAGCTCGCCCAGCGCCGCAGTCCACTCCCGGCGGCCCCCGCGGCCTCGGCCGCCTGCGCCGGCGCGCGGCGCCTTTGTCAGCGCGGCGGTCGGCGGAGGTTCAGCCCCGGTCCGCCCGCGCGCCCCGAGCGAGGAGGCGGTGAGCAGAGCCGGGGCCGGGGGACGGCGTGGGAGGGCGCGACCTGTGCGACCAGGGACACCGCGCCCGAGATTGAAAGTTACACTGTGTCTGACGGTGTGACACCGCGCCCGCGGGCCGTGCTTGCCGCTGAGACTGTGGGGGTGACAGTATGACATCGCGCCCACGTGCACGGGCCGTCCTCGCTGCTGAGACTGAGAGTGTGACACTGTGTGTGACAGCGTGACAGAGTGCATGGGCTGTGTTCGCGGCTGAGACTTGAGAGTGTGACACTGTGTGTGACAGAGTGACAGTGCATGGGCTGTGTTCGCGGCTGAGACTGAGAGTGTGACACTGTGTGTGACAGCGTGCATGGGCTGTGCTCATGGCTGAGATTGAGTGTGATACTGTGATAGTGTGGGCTGACCCAGCTCACAACTGAGACTGAGTGTGACACTGTGACAGTGTAACGGCGTGTATGGGCCATGCTTGCAGCTGAGACTGAGACACTGTGTGACAGTGTGACACTGTGCCAATGTGCATGGGCCATGCTGGCATGTGAGGCTGTGAGAATGTGACACTGTGTGTGATAGTGTGACACCACACAAGTGTGCACAGGCTGTGCTTGCCACTGAGACGAGAGTGACATTGTGTGACAGGTGACACCACGCTCACATGCGCAGGCTGTGCTCACAGCTGAGGCTTTCAGAGTATGATAGTTTGACATTGTGCCACCAAGTATTAGGGGGCCCATGACACCCTGTAAGACTGGAAGTGAAGTTGTGACATTGTGTGACAGTATGAGATCTACAAATCTATACAAGGGAGCCTGGACAGTGTGTGTTGGTTGTACCACCCTGTAACAATGTGGGAGACTGAAAATGTGTCTGATGCTCTCTATGACAGTATGAGACCACCCCATCATGTGAGATGGGGCCCGTGACTCCCTGAACACTGCTGTGAGGCTGAGAGCATGTGTGTAACACTGTGACAGTAAGAGACGGTGTCAGCATGTGGGGGGGACACAACAGTGTATGAGACTGAGATGGAATGTCTGTCACCATGTGACAACATGACACTGTGATCTGGACTGTGACAGTACAGCACATGACACTGTGTGACAGCGAACCCCTGGCACCATGTATCAGAGGTCCTGTAACTGGGATTATGACTGCGTCATATGGTATGACCTTTGGAGTCTGACCGTGTAAGACTGTCACTATGGGACCATGTGAGACTGAACACAGCTGGACTGGGGGTAGCTGGGTGTGGTGGACTGGGTGTTTGAATTTAAGCCTTCTGATCCCAGGCCCAGGGCCCTCTCCACCCCATATACTGGGCAAGTGCTCTACCACTTTACTACGTCCCCAGCCTTCTTTGTGTTTTATTTTGAGACACAATTTGTTAAATTGCCCAGATTAGATTGAAACTTGGGCTCCTACGGCCTTAGCTTCCTGGTTAGATGGGATTGCAGGTGTGGGCCACCGGGCCCAGCTAGAGCTTCTTATACTCACTATGCTGCTTTGTTCTGTTTTGTTGTTGTTGTTTTAGTTTGTTTGTTTTTCCCCCTGCAGTGCTAGAGATGGAACTCAGGGATGCCAGATGCTAGACAAGCACTCTACCACTGAGCTATACCTCCAGCCCTATGCTGCTGCTTATTGCTTTATTCTTCAAGTTAGTGAGCTCTAGTGGAAAAGAACTCAGGGTTAAGAGGTTCCAATGACTGTCCACCAAGAGTCTTGTCTCCTACCTCCATTGACCCTTTCTCAGGAAATGCTCAGAGAAGTTAAGAGCTTGGTTTTTAGATGCATTTGTTATCAGCCAGGACCCAAAGCAGGTTGTCCTGACTCTTGTCTAATGTCTTCAGACAACATGACCCCTCTGATGCCCACTCTGTGTAAAGGTGCTTTCCCTAATACATTCACTTGGTGGCTTTCTCTCTTAATTCTTTTTAAAAGGTTGGACATATTTCCTTTCAACATCATCATCTGGTAGAAAGACTAAAAATTAAGACCTCATTTCCAGTTTGGCCTGATTATTACCATGACACTTTGGGTATGTTTTGGATTTTATTTTTTTAGACAGGGTCCTACTAAGTTGCTGAAGCTGGCCTCAGACTTGATACTCTTGCCTCAGCCTCTGGAGTCAACCTCTGTAATTCCACTGGTGAAAAGCCTTCATAAATGAAAAGAGTGGAAAATCCTTCCTTGATAATACCATTCTGTAGTTGCTGTTATTGTCCTTTTTTTTTTTTTTGAATGTTTTTTTAGTTGTAGATGGACACAGTATCTTTATTTATTTATTTTTGTGTGGTGCTGAGGATCAAACGCAGTACCTCACATGTGCAGTGTGCTCTATCACTGAGCCTCAGCTCCAGTTATTGTTTATAATTTAAAATGAGTAGATAATTTATGCACAAATTGTATATTGTATTCTTGAGATATAATTGTAAATTGTAAGTTCAGAATTCTTTTGAAAAACAATTGTCAGTTTAGATAAATGTCTCAATTCAGTGACACTGAAAGCTTCAGTTGCGGAGGAAGAGAGGGAAGGAAAGATTGTTTCTAGGCTGGTCACCTTGGGAGCTGCTGAGCTAATCTGGCACTCTGTGGTTTCTTTTTCCCTCTCCAGCTCGATTTTCTCAGGACCCTGCCCCTCTTCCAGAGGGGAATTTGAAGGAGGAGG